GTCGAAGTTCTGGGTTTACGACTAATGTTGAGGCATCCAAGTCATTTTTGGATTTCACTTAAATGCCACTAAAACCAGCAGAGAATTATGGGCCCATAAACATGGCAGTAATATTGTACATAATGACTGGTCCCCAAAGTCTTACAGTCATTTAATGAGATTTTAATGTCCATTAAAAGTATTCGCTCATTTACTGACTGATGCTATAGTTTTATCAGTCAATTGTAATTATTTCCAAATGCCTGTACAATTCATTGTATTTTAATGAATGATTTGAGCTGTGATCTGAGGTTACACTTTATTTAAATGGTCCTCTTTAGACTTTCTACTAACTTTGTAACTTTGTAACAACACGTCAGTTAACTCTCATTAGAGTATTGTAGACTCTTAATATCTGCTAACAAAGATGCTCCCCATCGGACACTCTACTGACTATAAGTATCTTTGCAACTACATGTCAACTTCTACTAACCCAAACCACACCTAACCCTAACCTAACAGACTTAACAGTCTAAAGTCGACTAATATAGTTAATAGAATATAGTTAGTAGAATATCTGAAGTGAACCTTAGATGTCAATTGTTTCCATACACACAAAAGATAACATGAAGAGTTCAGATGCAAAAGCCTCTAAGTGCCATTTGAAATTTTCTTCTAAAATGATCATTTTTATCAAGCTTGTATATTTAAGTTCAGTAATTTCACTTAAATGGTAATGAAGATTACCTATTAATTGTTATATAAGTGAAATTACTGAAATTAAATATACAAGTTTGATAAAAATGACCATTCTAGAAGAAAATTTCAAATGGCATTTAGAGGCTTTTGCATCTGAACTCTTCACATATTTAACTTTTTATGACAGATGTTGCAATTTCAATGTGTTAATCATCTCAGCTTAAGTGTAAATATTTTTTTTTTGAATATGAAAATGTGAAAAAATGAAAAAAGAGCAGTGCTGCGGTAATGACGCAGTGTATCGGTAAGGACACAATGTTAAACTGCCACGAAATCAAACATGTTTGTTTATATGTATATACTAATATATACTTCAGTACTAATAATATACTGAATATTTGTAATTTAATATACAGTAAACCTTGAATTTGTAAAGACCGCAACACAAGGTCTTTACCGCAACACATAAATTTGCTGCAGTAACAGCGAACCTTCATGGTAAAGTGAAGTGGTCATTCTAAATAAAGATTAACCAATCAGATTATCTAAATGGCTGCTGATATGGGACATTTCTAAAAAGCTGTTGAACATTTCCACCATTGTTGCACAGGAAAAACGATATAGTTCATTACACATTTTCTTGTGTAATACAATAGCAAGGACTATTGTCACAATGAAACTATCTCTGAACTGTGAGCAATGTGATATTCAGGTCAGTGAACTGCTTATGGTCAGAGAAGATGTGCTCATACCTCATACATGTTCTTTCTAAATGTTTCTTTTGCCGGAAGTATAATAAAAAGGATGTGCTCTGTCTTGGCTAACCGAACACCATGGTTACTAGGACTATGGATGTGCTGTAGAAACAAGGACGTGGGGATTCAGTCTTTGATCAAATTACATCCAAATATCCATCTGCATGTAGTTTTTACATCTCAATCTCTTCAGGTTGAGTATCAGTTTATTATGAGGTCACAAAATGTGTCTGAAATAAAGCCTGGCTTCTGAACTTATGGAGAGAGGAAGTTTTCAAACATGTTATAAGATAAATAACTCTCTGTGTTTCCTTCATTTCCTCAGCTATGACTGAAGTGTCATAGTGTCATAGCAGCATTCGTACTGTTTTATTTAAAACAAAGTTATTGCAAACTGTTCTCGAGTAGATGGTGTTCTTATGACTCAATGTCCCCCCCCCCCATTTCACTGTACAAGTATGGAGAAACTTTCCTAGTTGTTGAAGAATCAGGTTTTTATAAATATCGTGATAAGGAACATTTAGAGTAAAGTGTTTGGCCAAGGTCACAATCTTCAAGGGACTCGGGTCTCATTTTTCTCTTCCCACCCCCTTCACCTTTTAAGTCACCATATGAAGCGAAGAAAAACACATTGCTGAAAATAAAAATAACCGTTGCTTCCCTCTCAGTGGGGAATACAAGTGCTGGAGAGAGATAATATAGTTGATGCATGGTGGGGCTAAGTTGAACTAACTAGATTCGAACACACTTTTTTTGTGGTTTGATTGGACTGTATGAAGATTGCAGGGGAATCTTTTAGCGTCTATAAGGACAAAAGTTGATGCACTGAGTTAACAGAGGAAGATAGTGAAGAGTTTCAAGACAGGGAATGTTGATTGGGCGGAGAGGTCATAAAATATTGAGGCTTGTTTTTTCCCTGTGGAATGCATATTTTTGGCCTTGAGAAGATTTCTAGCAATCAAAAACCTGTCTGTTTCTCCTCCCATATCATTTTGGGAATTGTGATGACAGCTCACATGCACTGTATGTTTTTCAGACTGAGTGCATGTTTTTTTTTTTTTTTTTTTTTTTTTTGTGTTTGCGCATGAGGAAATTTTTTTTATTTAAATATACTTTGATTTGAACGCTTAATTTTTGTTAAGCTGTCCAGTTAGTATATTTCAAATTCACCTTCCCATATAAAACTTATATGTATATATATATGTATATGTATATGTACAGTATATGTATATGTATTATTTTTACTCATACAAAACTGAAAATAATTTTACTTTTAAATATTCTAAGTTTTGTACTGTATGGGTAAAAAATATTTAATGCCATTTTCTGGGCTCAAATTACATAATTCCCCATGTGAACCACATTAGTATATATTTTTTATATTCTAGATGGTATGTCATGTATATTTAAATATTAAAAAATAGTAAATAAAATATAATAGAAATAGGTTAGGTTGATTTTTTTTTTTTTTGGGCCAGAAGGATAGTCCCAGAATTCCATGTGCAAACTATCACAATTGTTTAGAATTTATTTAAAATAAGATATTTTTAGACCCATATTTGTTTTCAGTTACGTACATTGAATATTTAGCGATTTTTGTTTGCCAGTACCACCTGCTGTATTATCAGAACATTTTACTGTAAAAACAGATTTTAGAAGCTCAATTAAGTTGATGTATTAACATAATAAAATCAAATGACACACGAGTGCTAAAAAAGCACTAATTAAGGTATGTCCTATGATGTATGTAACATACATGTGTATGTTTCCATATATAACCCAGCTGTCACAGCTGTAAGGTATTTTTTAGTCAAAACCAGGTCAAGCAATCCCATGTAACTTTGTGCCAGATTCTGTTTATGGACTACATCATCCTCTCTCACCCCTCGCTCAACTGTACTAAAACCCGCAGCAAAATGCTGCAGCTACTGTAACTGGCATCATCACGCTTGCTTGTGTGATGTCCCGCGGCTTCATTAGGAGCCGTACACATGCAAACGTTTGCTCCTCAAGTACTCAACTTAAAAGAAACTTCATCAGATGAGACAATCAACCAAAACAAAATGTCCTCTCGCTTGAACTCTCTTCAAAATTCCTTAAAAGCATCATGTCACCCATGAACAACATTGTCTCTCTTGACAAAGCAATCTGCTTGTGTCCCATCTGGAGAATATTGCACATCCTCCATTATGCATAAACTCACTAAACCACAAAGAGATTTGCAACAGCCAGAACTCCCAGTGCCAGGTCATTTTAATCATGGTGTTATGAAAACTTCATGAGTTTCTGTGTTTCTTTCCTTGTGTTGTTTTGTGCTAACGGCTTCATTCAGTATACAACAGGATATTTACCCACCTCTGGGAGACTGACAACACAAATCCCTTTAGATGAAAGTCAAGAGTATAACCTGCTTAAAATAGCTTCCTGGAACGCTGTTGCGTGCTTGTGTGCAGTAGTGTTGGAGAATGTTACTTTTAAAAGTACCATGTTTAAATATTGTGTTGCTTATTATACAAGTAATCTTACAGTGTGTGTTATTAATAAGGTTTATGTAACTAATATTATGTATTATTTCTAACACTGTTTTTGTGTTTGTGTATTTATCTATTTTTATGCAACTATCTAGTTTGTTCTGGTACTCTTATGAGTGAGTCATTGAATCATTCGTTCAGTTTTATCATTCAAAAACATTGAGTCATCATTAGGAATGAATCAGTGGACTGTCTTGATGAGTGAGTCATTGAATCACTTCCTCAACCAAATCATTTAAGGAACGAAACCATTTACTGTCTTAATGAGTCTTAATTATTTACTTAATCAAATAATTCAAAAAACGTTGATTCATTAAAGAATGAATCAGGGGTCTCTTTATGAGTGAGTCATTGGACCATTTACTCCACAGGAACAAAACAAATATCTTTCATTTATGAGTCATTGAAAAACACCACTCCTGATGTGATTCTGCTGTGGTCGAGCAAATGTAGACATCATATACGATGACAGTACTGTGTTTGAAGTGTATATGTTACTCAATATTAACTTATTGTTTATTGATCAAAAAAATGAAACACAATGAAATAGGCGATGGGGATGGCAAATAGTTCAAGTTATCAGACGTTAATTAAAACCAGTTCAGGAACACAATATACTGTATCCCCAATGTGTGAAGCCTTTAGCTGCTTGTCTGTCTTTATTCACCTGTGGCTGAGCTCAATGTCCCATCTGTCGTTGCCTATTCTCCAGTTTAAACAAAAGCCTTGGCTGTGGTGCTGTGCAGTAATTTGATTAGGGTTATTGAATGAACATTAGACTACCAGGGCTCCAGCCAATACACGCAGCTGAACTCACCTGTGGGCGCATGGTTTGTTACAACTTGAAAAAGATCCAAAACAAAAACAGCGGTTTTAATTGCTTCAGGGGTTGTTTGATTTGCCTCTCAGACAATGATAATGTCATAACACTTAGATTTCAAAGTCTCTTGGTCCCATTGCAGATGTTTTTTGTCTGCTTTTGGCTCGTTCACATGTTTATTTATTTTGAATTGTCTGATCTTTGTCCCACAGGTGTACTGAGCCTGCCGGACAGTCTGAACCTGCACCGTGACCAGCAGCGAGCAGGGAAAACCGGAGAGGCCCATGCCTACAGCCAGGCTGAACTCCGCACCATTGAACAGTCCCTCCTGGCGACCCGCGTGGGGAGCATTGCAGAGCTCAGTGAGTACTCATGCCTTAAAAAATGTGTGTTGGTGTTTTTTGGCAACTGGAAGTTTGGCATTGGGGTCCTTTATGTTCACAAAGGCTGCAATTATTTGATCAAAAATAGAGTAAAAACATTGAAAAAGAAATATTGGGAAATATTGTTAGAGTTTAAAATCACTATCCTCCCAGATTTATATTTTTAAAATCAGACATCAATCTTCTTAGTAATCCTTAATTTATTCCTTATCAACAATCTAACAAAAACAAATTTCAAAAAATGCGTTTCCATTTTTTGTTTTTTAAGTACGTAAAGGGTCGCTAGTGACACGAGGTATGTATTAGTGTAAGTATTTTTTTTTTCTGCATTGAAATAATTTAACCTCTGACCCATTCATTTTCACCTTTATTTCACAAGGTGGCAATGTCTGATAGACAATGATGACGTGATGTTTAACTCATGATTACTGTAAGCATAAAACAAAAGAATTTGGTCATAATTTATTCAGCTGGTCCCGTTTGTTGTAATCTACCGCTTAGAGCATGTGTCAGAAATATAACACCCCTTTCCTTTCCAATAATGAAAGCCAAGAAGAGCAAGCTGATCAACTCAAACCACCTTCTCAAGCACAACTTGTACAGGATGTTACTTAATTTTAGACCTTACTCTTACATTTCAGATATGATGTTCTTAACAGTGTGTCATTTATAAGATCATATTTCTGCATCGTACTTCATGAAAAATGGTGAGAACACAACAAAAGGTTATGGTTGGATGAGGAATAGTTATAATACATTTTAATCACTGCTTCCTATAAGATTGTCTGCCTTAGGAAGGCTGAAAAGGGGTGGTTTAAAAAAAAACTGTGCCTTTTGGACATGGTGACAACACACTACTAACACAACTTATCCAGGCTCCCCCCCCCTTTTATTGTGATTTCTTAATATCAAAACTGTTGAAAACACCTCTGCTTAATATGCAGAAATTGTTTTAAATTGTTTAATCTTTTATAACATTATAAATATCTTTCCTGTCACTTTTGATCAATTGAATGCACCCTTGCTGAATAAAAGTATTGTCTAGAGTCTATACTTCTATAGAAAATAAAAAATAAAACTGACCCGAAACTTTTGAAAGGCTCAAAAAAACAAAAACAAACAAAAAAAGAACAAAAAGTAGTTGGTTAAAGGTGGTGAGAGACTTTCTCGTTCTAGAGAGCATTTTATTGGAAAGAAATCTGTTTAGGATGAACCCTCTGTGTTTTTTATCTATTTTCTGGGAAGAGAAAGAGAGTACATCTTGAATACATTTTATCGCCTAAAAGTGAACATTGAGTCAATGTTTAAATCCAGTCCAATTTTTTTTTTTTTCCCACACCATATGAATTCCAGCAATGACCCTGGTCTGATATCCATTCTGTGTCAGGTTCCTGAGCTATTTGACATCCGGATGATGCACTGAATTAGCTATTTTTAGTCACTTGTGTGGGTGTATGAGGCCAGTGGTCAGCAACTGGAAGGCCCTTCCCTAACAGAGTAGGGTGTGTCTCTCTCTAGTGTCCACCGGATGGTCGTCAGACTGAATAACAGCTCTTTGTATATGTGTCTTGGTGCTGGTGGTTAGCCTGTGTGGCAGTGCATTTCAGAGCTTGTCCGTACTGCATTACTGCACCCACGGTCATTTTTTAATCATAGCTAACACACACAATAACCAAAAAGTTAAGATGCAAAAGAGCACACCATCATCTACACTGATTACGTCTCCTAAAGTGTGCCTGCCAAATGAATGCGTGTGACCCCATTGAGGAGGGGAAATTCGATGTGTGCAGAGGGACTTGAGTAAATTACAGAGAGCCAGTGACCCTTCTGTCATTCTAATCAACATTGCATTCTGCTGGGAAACAGACGCATCAGATTTTGCAATGTGAAACAATAGAGCAATGGAGATTACTTGTTTTGTTTATTAAACTCATTTTGATTATGTGAGGCTCACAAAACAAATCAACAACATTTCTGTTATATTTAAAATACAACTAAAAGGAAAGAAATAATTCTTAAGTAGAGTTAAGCAAAATTGCCTCCCACAATCAATCAATCAATCAATTGTTTAACTGCTTATATTGTGATTAGAATTCAAAATCATTGTATTACAATATTTTTTTATGCAGTTTTTTTTTTTTTGGTAGGTCTCAATAGTCATTATTATTGAATACTAAACAGACCTAGACAGGCACAACATATCAGGTGGGTTATTTAAGATGCTGCAGGGTATTTGTGTTATTGCATGTATAAGTATTATCACAGATGTGAAGTTGCTTTCATAATGCAGCATTTGTTATGTAACATTTGTAATGTTGAACATTAGCTATTTCACCAACAGATGAGGCATAATAATCAGACGTAATTGACTTTTTCCTCCTTTGCAGCTTGCACAACAAACATCCATATTGATTGCAAACTCCTCAAAAGCCACCTAATTAATTGACCATTTGCTAATTATGGCATATTTTCACACTCTATAATAAAATATAAAAGTCTGGATTATGGAATTGCTTTTCTGTTGATGAAAAGTTCTCATGCATATTCATTTCCCTTTGAATCATCTCAGTTTTGGCTATGCGAAATATCGTTTGTGTCTACTCTAATTATCTCACAATGTCCTTATCGCAGACCTATAACTATCAGTGTGGTGTATTGCAAAACAATACTTGTTAGAATGTGTCCAGCATTTTTTATGAGCATCCTGGCGTCTCACAGTTTGAAACCATACGCCGCTGTGGTTAAATTAACTTGGAAACATAATACATTGTGGGCAGTTAACAATGAGGCCCAACCATTACAGACTTCACTGTCCTGAAGGCTGTTATGGTACATATGTTGATAAAGAGTTTTGAAAAAACAACTTGGTGGTGTAATGTGTGTGTGTGTATAAAAAAAAGTGTGAGCTCTACTAGATCAGTGATACTCTAAGTAAACAAGCACATACTTTTTATAGTAAATGTCTCTAGAGTTCACATTCGCCTTCGAGCCCCCTGGCAAAAATCATCCATGGTATTTTACCGTATTTATTTCTCTCAAAAAAATTTCAGGATTCTTTTCTGTGTATATTCTAGTGCACGGAAATTGTGAGAAGCAGCTCCTTTTACAATATGGCCATAATTCAGACATCTGTCTCTCCACACGCTCCAAGAATCCCCATAAGAGTTTGGCCTGCACTGTGCTTTCTCATTGGTTAACTCAATTATTCCCATCTTAAGTTCACTGCTGAAATCTAAAAATAAAATAAACTATCCAGTATGGAATTCAAGGGGCAGATATATTCATTCATATCTCTGTCCGTCAGTCAGTCCGGCCATCCTTTTGTTTGTTTTTTGTTCATTCATTTTTACTTTGCTTATCTTTAAAAAATACCCAATGCATGCTCTTCTGGAATTAAAAAATCCAGAATGAGCTGCTGCTTTCAATATTTGGCCTGAAAAAAAAATGAACTGATTTATTAGTTTCCTTTACCAGAGGCGTTTAGATTATACATGGAAAATTAGCAATTAAGGGATATTAATCAAACTACAATCTTGACAAGGCAAAGAGAAAACCCCTCACTGCTCTTGGTTGGATAACTTATAGCTTTAATGAGTTTAAATTGATTTAGTAGCACAAAATTTAAAAGAAAGAAAGAAACTAGATGGCTAATCTTAATTACAGACCTGCTGCTAAGTCAGACTATTGTGTTTATTAGCAACAACCCATACTATTTGTCCTTAATATTTCTGTATATAAAAGAAATATTGCACTGTTTTAACATGTGAGCTTAATATGCAACACAAATTAAAAGTGGGTTTTGGCTGATTTATCATCATGGAAATTAAATTCAAGTTTGTAAGTTTGTTTAAATACATTTCTAATTTATAGCTGTTATATAGAGTATAGATGAAAAGTCTTCTTTTTTTGTCTAGCTAACACTTAAATGTCACCAGCAGTACTGATGATAATGATGTCCAGTCTCGGCAAGAGAAGTCAAATCAGCTCCATTTCAAATGAAGATGGCCCAATCAAAACCTTTTTCCTCCATCCTCTGAATGTTGGTGGGTCTGAGCCATCCGGAAAACACACTAAGTGCCACTTCAGTATCAGAGCAGCTGTAAAATGCTTAGCAAGTTTAGGTAATTCACACTACACCAATAGACGCGACCAATGGCAAGAGACACATTTGTTGGGTTTTGTCGGGTTAGTGTATTACATTGGTGTTGGTCGGTGCTTGTTTTTAACGGTATTTATATACATTGTGTTCAGTCTGTATTTGTCAGGGCATGGAATGTCTCCGAAGTGACGTAGTGTAATCTGGTGGTTATCGACTTTAGGTCGGTGTCTGTTGATTGATTTTATTTATATGGGACAATGCATATTCATAAATGAAGTAGGGCTATCTCTAATTTCCTTTGGCATACTGTTCCATTTTGTGCAGCCTTTAATAGAGAGGACATTTTGTGCAAACGTAGATTTTCTAAATGGTTCACATTCCCCCTGGGTAAATGATCTAGTCCTAGTCTCACTATTTCTCTTTTTGATAAAATCCCCCAGGGGAGGTGGGGCGATTCCATTCATAGATTTATAAATTAGACTGCTACTTTTAAAATTTTTTAGATTTTCAAAATTTAGGAGGCACTTCTCAAGAATTGGACAAAGGTGAAACGACTGTGGTTTCCTGTCAAATACCTTATCTGCTTTTTTTATATAGTTGGTTAATGGGTTTTAATGCAGTAACTCTAGCAAAAGACCAAACTGTGAACACAACGGTCTTTTTAGTATTAAGAGTGAGGCAGATTTGATTTAGCCAGTTTTGAACTTTGGTTTGTGAATTTGTAAGATTTGTAGCTATTATCTTTTTATATTTACCATGATTGAAGATCACAGCGTCATCCGCATACATCTGCACATTACAGTTCAAACAAGCAGCTGGCAGATCATTCATGTACATTGAGAACGATAGAGGACCGAGAATTGAGCCCTGTGGAACTCCA